AAAATAATTTAAAGTTTACTTCTAAATGCAAGTTGCATCTTCATATTATATATAATACATAATGTGATAAGTGTTTTTGCGGCTGTGTCTTTGTTTTTTTATAAATATGTTCTTAATAAAAATTTTAATTTCTTTATATAATGTATGATAGCATATGGATAATACATAATACATAATGTATGATACATAACGTACATCATCTTTCGTACAAATGGATGATTAAAATCCGATTTTAGATACGAAAGATAAAATTCACTAACATTCATTTCTACCAATACAGTTTAATTTTAATCTCGATTCCATTAATTCTTCATCTTTTTCTCTAGTTTGAAAAATTAGAAAAATATAAAGACTAATAGCGTTTTTCACTAAAAAAATTGATGCAACATGGAGCAACATCGTGCTAGATTTCGATAAAAACTACATTAATAGTGCAGATACGGTTTTAATACGGTTCAATGGAACATATCATAAAACATTCATTTTACTGACATCCATTTTATAACATCCCTAAAAATATATATAATTATATTCAAATTTAAATTACTTAAATTTTTAATTTTACAATATTCTGACTCATATTTATTTAAAACATTTTTTAAAATTAATTTTTTACATTTCAGGAGTTTTAAATAGGGATGCATTGGATATCCGGAAACTATTCAGTATCCGGTATTATCCGGAAATTTTTTACTATCCGACCGGAGTCAGATATTATTAGTGTCCGGGAATATATCCGGTTGAAATTTGATATCATTAAATTGTTGATTTTTTCTTATACAAATGTTCTAGATAATATGTTCATGATATTATCTTATACATTGTCACAAAATTACAATTTTAGAATACTTTCTCGGAATCCGATCGGATATCCGACTCAAAGAAATTGTCTTCTCCGATATTCGATCGGATATCAGATATCCGATGTTATATTCTGTCTAGATATCCGATACTCGGTATCCGGTAATTTTACGATCCGGTGCATCCCTAGTTTTAAACGTCAAAATGTCATTGCGTATTATTAGAAATATCAAAACTAACAAGTATTATGACAAGTATTATGAATAATGTAATATTACATTATAATGTAATATGATATCTTAGCACGAATACAATTTCAATTTCAATTTGCACTGATCTTCACTGACTTCAAAGATGGTGGAGAAAAAGAACTGGTGCAAGTTTTTTATACTAGTTTTATCAATTAAACATTAAACATTAAAAATATGTGAACTGATTTTCACAGTGGAACAATAAAGTTGCACTCAGTATGCATTAGTGTTCCACTAGTTCTCCCAGGTGAAAAACGCTATAAGTTAACACATTAAGCTTATTTCGTTTAAGTTTTTGTTTACGTTGCACAATATCGTCAACTGAAGAGAGTGTGGTGCGCAAGCTAAAATAAACAAAAAAAAACAGTTTCGTTCTCTAAAGCATATCTATCAAATATTTTAAACAGTTTTTGGAACTGATGTGACGTAACGGGAAGCCCGATGCTGATTTAATGACGTTAAATTAAAATTTTAGTTAATCTATATTGATAGAAACGGGCATAAGAGTATCAGATTATGATAAATGCATTATCGCAACACGAATATCATTTATAAGATCTTATGCAACTCATATATATTCTAGGCTAAAAGTTCGGAAACACTTTCAAAAATTAACTTTTTTGAAATTACTTATTCAAATATTCACAATAATGTATTTTTTTAACAATACAATATTGTATTGATGCAATAAATTTGATGCAATAAATTTTAATAAATTTGAAGAATTGTTTAAAAAACATTTTGTTATGAATATTTTGAATAAATAATAAAAAAATATCGATTTTTTAAAAGTATTTCTAAACTTTTGATCTTGGAGTAAATATTGTATCGTGTAATTGAATTTGAATTTGTAAAAATTTTTTTGTTTTATATCATTCTTGATTGAGACGATAATTGAAGAAAAAGAAAATAAATTCAATTAATTAACTGATAAAAATCTGATAAAATTAATACACTATTATGGATTGTTATCACTTGCAGTTATTCTTTTCTCGTTTTGTATTTAAAATTGTACTCATTTGTTATTTAGCAGCTTGTCCAGGCCCAGTGGAAGCTTTCCCCTTTTGAGATGATTCTGCAGTATCATTTGATTGTTCAACATCCATCTAAAAATTTCATTAAATTGTTAGCTAAAATCAATGATTTAAACAGATTTAAAGTACAAAGAATTTAAAAATTCAAAAATTTATTTTGATCATTTAGAATTCATTTTTTCTTAATTTTTTTCTTTCTTTTAAGGATCATAACTATATATCGTATGCCGTAATCTGTAAGAATTGATTAATCATGGTATTATCAACAGTAGTACTGAATATTCCTATCTTACAGTCAAAGTAGAGGTGAATATTTGACTATAATTGATCAATTTTTACAAATTACAGCCAGTATAATAATGTTCCCTAAATCTTGA